TTCACATACAAACTGGTGGCGCCGAGCCTTACACGGAAGATTTCAAAATTGTTTACGCGCAGTGGGCACTGAGTGATCTCCCTTCGGAACTTGCATCTCTCATTGGACCGCATCGACTGCGATCGCCTATTGTCGTCGGTCTCGCCGCTCCGCTCGCACCGGACAATACGAACCACAATCTTTTCTCGACGCTACCACTACCAATGACTACGATCCTTCCTGTGCATCTTACGGCGTCTTTCATCCTTACTCCAGATCGCAGACACATAAGGTTGGACGATTACGGCAATCTTGAGTCAAAATATAATCGATGGCTGCTCTCGACCGTCGCGCCACCGCTCTATCTCTTTCTCTTGGAAGATCTACTTCGGACTCAAGCTCAGCTTGGCAACGAGGCCTGGTGGCCTGGAAATACAAGTCATGCCCAGGACAGTGTCTCGGGACACCTCGTGGACGCATTCTATTCGACTCATCTTGGCTCCACCAAACGACGGGTATGTGCGAGTGTTTTTGATGCTGGTCAGCAGTTCCGGCCTGCCGATGTGCTCGTCGGTGGGAACGAACCTGCCCCCATAAGCAAGATCTTGGGGTTGCTCAACACACCTCATATTACCCACCTCCCTGCCAAGATCCGCGACCGTTGCGTCGGTGTGATGAAGGCAGTAGACCCCGCCTTTGTCAAGTTGGAAGTCCAGCGGAAATCTCGCAACGTCCTCTCGTTATTCGACAAAGGTCAACTAACGATACGGGACATCCAGAGTCTCACAGACTTCCTTGCCGAAGACACTCTTTCGGATCTAAGCAGCCTCCCATTACTGCCTTTAGCCGATGGCAAGCTTGTTGTATTACAGGCATCAGGACCCACTTATTACATCTGGAAACCACTACATCCTGACCGTGTCCTGTTCCGTCCCGGATATCTGGTGCATCCAGAATTTGTGGCAGACAAGTTCTGTGATAAAGGCCTCAATGTGACGAAGTTCACGTTTTCTGCGGTCGAAAAATTAATCAAGGACCACTTTCCGGAAGGGGACGAAAGGAGCGGGATGAAACCGGAGGAGGAAAAATGGGTCGCGACATTCTGGGCGGAATACACACACTTTGGACTTCCGGCCGAGACCAAGTTTTCATCGTTCCCCCTAATCCGCACCAGTCGCCCAGGCTATTACGTGTCCTTCAACAAGTGCTGGCACAGCTCCATGATTTTGACCAGCAATTCTGAACCATTTTGGCTTTGCAATCTCCTCGACGAACTTGGTGCATCTGTTGTTCAAAGAGACAGCAAGGAATTACCCAAGGCCCTTCGAGATCTTCTCAAAATCTATCCTCTCTTCAGCTTTGACAGAGTTCTACGTTTTTTCCAAACGATCGAGTCGACAATTCCGAGTCGTTTCGCCAAATTAGACCCTCCCGTGCACACAGAGTTTGCAGAGTGGGCGCGTGGCCAAATCACCCGCACGCCCGAGAGTTTGTTTCCCATTGCAAGCGCCCTGCCGATCTGGAAGAAGTTGCAGAACGAGCAGACTGTCACATTACATGCGGCTGCCGAACTGAAGATGCTGCCTTTTGGCATTAGCCGGGACATCGCAACCCGATTCATGGGCGTACCTTCAGTCGAATACAATGCGTCACTGGTCCACTTGAAAGTTGTTCCATTGAACTTCAATCAATTTTGGTGAGGACACCGTTCTTATTTTGCTGAAACAACTGACTCGAGCCCATAGGTACCACCTGAAACTCCCGGAAAAACTGAAGGCAGAAGATTTGCATGTATATAAACAGTTGCTCACTCTGATGCCTTCGAATTTCATCTACAATAGCGACACCATGTGAGTCGAATGCCCGCTCCGCTACCCAATAATTTATTCTCCATAACAGACTAATTCCCAATGGGGCCAGGGATCTAGTGAAGGTATGTTCGCGTCCGCGTCCGCACTGTTTTCAGATGGACGCTTGAATCTAAACCCTGCCTCGTTCATAGGCAAATACGCTGTATACTCGACATGCTCTATTCGTCGCTGCGTTCGGATCGGACTCTTCTCCAAGGCATTTCATTCTGGATAGTTTCCGCGATTTGGAACCTCGACTGGTGTCTTTGGGATTGAAAAGCCACACGAACCTGGACGTCGAGACTTTCAAGGCCTGTGCTCAGGCCATACAGGATGACCCGAATCATCCCAACATTGTTGCTCGAGCGCGCATTGTATTCCGGGCGTACGGAGAAGATTTGCCTATGCGAATTGAGTCCTCGCTATCCCATATCTGGCAGCAGATGGATGAACTCCGCTTCATTCCTCGCGAGCCTCTTCGTCGGCGAACTATGGGGATAGATGAATCATCGGTGTACGTCAAACATCTTCCCAACATCGTATCCCCAGCGCAGGTGCTTTTGGTGGAACACGAAGCCATCGCATGGACACAACGGGCTGTCGTGCTGTATCCACCGGACGAAAGGGTCTTGCTGGCAAATCCGCGTTTCGGAACACCGACTCCCAAGGAAGTAGTCAGTTATTCCATTATGCTCTTTGCGTCGACCGCTCATTGCGACTGTAGGTCGCGCATCTCCGTGTCCTTTCTTCGCAAGTCGCCAAAGACTATATCTCCGACATCTATCTGCTGTCAGACCTAGAGGCGACCTATAGATGGCTGGATGACCACCAAGACCAAGTCGAAGATATCATAATCGAATTCCACGATGAGCCGCTATTCCTGAATGTCAACGATCCCAAGACAGATCCGTGGCTCTGGCATTCCGCAGACGAAATGTTCTTCAACATCCTCGACGGTGGTGATCTCAAGTCGGTTAAGAAGTTCCTGCTGCCGTTCAAGGACCTTCTCTCTGTCTCGGGAGTTGAAGACATTGTCAATGCTCCTGTCCCTGGCCTCGTCCGGTCGTCGGTCGATGCGCAGCTGACTCTTTTGCGAACGGGCTTCCAAACGATGCGTTTCGAGGGCAAACTCACTGACGTCGTCTTTATCTCGGACGATGAAGGGAGGTATCCAGCACATCGTGCCTTCCTGGCGCCCATGAGCGATTACCTCAATGATTTGTTCTGCGGGTCTTTCACTGAAGCTGGTCCGGGCACCGCAGACGACCCCGTCGAGATCGAAGTGGATTATCCTGGGCCTTGTGTGGACGCCACGTTAGGTTGGTACCCCTTCTCTTTGACCCGACTACTGAGACTAACTCTGTGATCAGATTATATCTATATGGCGAAGGCTCCAAGTCTAGAACGCCTCAAAGATCTGCTTGATATCATGGAGTGAGTGTCTTACGCGCGCCATCTGCAGTTGCCCGCTAATCATTGTGATCATCAGTCTCTCTAATTATTGGGGACTCGGCGAGCTGAATCAACTCGTCCAGGCCAGGATCATCGAAAACAACCAGATATCACCCGCGACATACGAAGAAGGTGTGTGTCTTATCATACTGGCATTGCGTCGTTTCGGATGGGGGTGCTGACTTGTTTCCAACTAGTCGTTGCGCGTGCAACTGCGCTTGACGCAAAGCTGCTGCTCGACGCGTGCGAGTTCTTCGAGCGGGAGAACCGGGAAGCCATCCTGCGGTTGAAAGGGGAGTACAAGGGCAATCGCCGGTCGGGGAAAAGGATCCCCAAGAAGGAGCCTTCTGCTCGCCCGGTGTCGTCCATCGCCGCTGCGTCCGCCTCGTCCGGTCAAGGAAGCTCCACCGCAAGCCACTTGCTGAAGCCTCCCAAGGCAAAGAAGGTGGTCAAAGGGTTCATGAAAGGCTTAAAGAAGGTCGGCGACTCGTGGGATTTCCTGTCCTAGCGACCCAGGGTGTAGGATTAAATATTCCGTTGTTGTATTTATATCAATAATGCATGGCACATTCTGAATTAACACACTAGTCCTGGCTTTAAAAGTTGCTAGGCTTTCGGAGACCAAGATGTTATTAGCGAACGAGCGTACTACGCACTGTAGCGTTCAGCAGTTTTGCACCTGCAACCACAAACTGGTCCGATTGAACAAGCCGCGTTTCCTTACAGACTGTTGGCTGCCCTAGATTCGATATGTTCCCGACTCGTCGCCTGCATGCAAATTCCAGCATAAAGGAAATTTGATTTTAATTTGTGTACAGACAGTCGCTTTGGATGAGTTTTCAAGAATTGACATTTACACTGGATGAAACACAGGTCTGCCATTACAGAGGCTCTATGTAGAAGATTGTTTTACAGATAGCGCAAAGGTGAAAAGCGAAGAGGATGAAATGCTGATCTCTCAGAGATAAAGATAAAAAATTGCCTACTACCTGAGTTGATCTCTTACCCAAGTGAGCTCCCAAGTGCTTCAACATCACCTGTCCCCTCCGAGGCCATGCCCGTCCCCTCCCCTACACCACACCTCACCTCCACGAGCGCCCCCCCGCCAGTGGGGCCCTTGCGAGTTTGATGTGGCACGGCGTTTCCTTTGCGTCAGGGTCCTTGTCCACAAGAAGTCAAGGTACTTTTGATGAACTGAGTTACGACGATGTTGTGTGCTGAGGGCCCAAAGAATGTAACGGGCAGAGCGTTCGCCTATCTGCCTCACGCGCAAGCGTCGACTCGACCTCGGGGGGACGGGCGTGGCCCGCGATTCGGCGGGTATTCATTGTTCTCATACGAGGTACCGTCTGCTTGGGAAGATGAGGGGTCAAGGATGGGTGGCTGTGCGGGTTCGTTCAGATAGTTCCACAGTACTAGTACTCAGTCTGTCTGTAGACCTCGCGACCAGCCAGCTTCAGGCAAGCATTTCAGAGCGGGCCTTCTGCTACTTCTTGCCATGATTTGGCCATTTCCTGGCTTTTGACTTTAATGATTTTCTAACTAGAATACCCTGTATAAAAGTAGCTCGCATTGACTTACGAATTCTCTCGCCCTTTAAATTCGTTGCCCGACTAGTCGACTGAGGCGTTTTCTCAAATAGAGGGATACCTCACCCTGCCGCGCAGCAGTAAGTACCAAGAAACCAAGAAATATTTTATCCGAGAAAAATGCCAAAAATGCCCCGGAGCCGGATTGAACGACTGACCTCAGCATAAATTACAATTTAGTACAAGTGCTGCGCTCTACCACTGAGCTACAAGGGCCCCGTGTCCAATGTTGACGAGCCCTGGTGAGGAGGCCATAAGACTTGGTGCAAGGTACGTAATCTGTATCGGCGCCCTTCTACTGTTGACGCGACGTGCAGTACGGGACGGCGTGCGCGAGTCTCTCTACGTCGAATCCATCTTCCGCGTTGTGCGCACGCTCAACCACCTCGAGGTCCAGCTACTACCAAGACGTCGATCCGACGGCAACACCACTCTTACAAGCAGAGAACGTCCGCGGCCACCCACCCGCCCGTGGTTGGGGACTCCCCGCCGACGTCCCACAGCGGCGAGCCCATCAACCCACCTTCCTCTTCCGTGCCGAGAGCACGCCGCACCTGGACATCCATTCTTTCGCCCGCGTTCTCGCTGCCGACACGCTGACTGAATGCGAGCCCAAGCCTAGCGACAACGCGCGCACGTCTATCGCTTCGTCGAGCTTCCCGACGTTCACGTCGACGGCGGAAAAGCCCGGGCTGTACGCGCGCCACGCGCCGGAGGAGAGTGTCGACGTCGACATTAGGGACGTGCGCCGACAAGCGACGAGGGACACGAGATGCCACAGGTGCCTGGACCAGGAGGAGGACGACGGTATCTATCGGCTTGGAAGAAAACTGGCATAATGTAGCCACGTTCTGTTGCCCTTGCTGCCCTTGTGCCTCTGCGTGTCACTCTCCAGGGTCTCCTAGCTCTCTTATTAGACTTGGGTCTGCTCGGACTCGTGTGCTCTGGCAGATGGTCTGCCCTCTGGCTCTGTCAGATCTGCCCTTCGGACCAAGTGCTGCTGGATTATGTGTAACTACTGCTTTAGGCAAATTTTCAGCCTGATGCAGCACATTTCTTGCTCGATTGGCAGGAACTCATCGCGGTCGCGCTGATCTGTCAATAGCGGAAAGAAGCCCACGCGAATGAAGGTGACAGTGCAAATACCTCTGCACTCGCTCCCGCCCTCTCTTCCCGCCCCGCTTCTCCTCTGCTCTTGATCCCCACGTTCCCCCACGGATTCCTCAAACGACAGGCAAGTCGCCTGTCCACGCACGCACCCGGTCATACTACCGACTGCTCCTCTGCAGGCGAGTAGTGCAGCTTCGCAGGTAATATGAGCGTGCACTGCCTCCGAGCGGCAAGTTAACCCTGCCTCAAGTCTCGGCCAATGAAGGAGGCGCGCACGGTGCGTTATCTCAACGTTTTCTTCCTTTTGTGTATTAAATGTGGATCGTAGGGCGACTGGCAGTCCTCCGCTCCACCCGTCCGCGATGGCGACAGGATGGACGTGGACGTCTCCGATGTTTTATTGTCGAAGACATCTGCTCCTTCTGTATGTGCATGATTTGCGTATCTGCGGACTGTGCTCATTGACCTACGCTAGTACCTGGAATTGGTGCTCGGAGCGGCGGCAGGCATCAAGAATTCGGCGAGTAATTTGTAGTTGTCCTGCTTCTCTGGCTTATTTGCCCTCTCTAGCTCTATCGCAGTTCTCCAGTAGCGACGGAGAAGGCTTTTGAGCCCAACGGCAAGGATTTGGTGCGCATATATCCATGCCCAACTTGAACTTTCTTTGCTTATTCAATTTCAGGAGCCATCGATTGCTGTCAGACACGAGCTAGACGCCGAATTAGTGAGCGACTACTCGGGCGCAACATGTTTTCTTACTCATCAAGCACCAGGGGCTGACCCACCCGTTTGAACCCGTCGAAAAAACTGCCGTTTTTGAGCTTCAAAAATCTGAAAACGCACGGGGCCGTACCCGTCCGTCCCGTCCGTCGACCCGTCAAAAACGGGAACGGGTCGGAGCCCTAGCTTTGAGAGGAGGAAGATCGATACTCTTTCTCTTCCTCCGCGTCCCAGAGGACGTCCCATCCTCCTGAGATATCAGCCTAGATACGAGCGTGAGATGATGGTCAAAGCAGAGCACGAATCCTTGCCCCTGCACGGTATTACGCGGGGCCATATGCTCCGAGGTCAATACAACCGTGCGAACACGGTCGTCTTTGTCCGCTATTTCAAAGATTTTCTGCACCTCTATCGCTCTGGTACACACGGCCGTCCCAGGCGAACACGAATCTGGCAACCACGAAATCTCGCGCTCATCTGTAACCCCACCTACTGGCCCCGCCTCCACCAGATCCCGATCCCGATCCCGATCCCGATCCACCCATCACGTGAAACTGATCGGGTTTAAGAACAAGTTCGCTTGAATGGAGAAAAAGAAGAATATGGCTGCCTTGCATTTCTGGCTCGTCTCGGCATTCGCCCGCCGGTGTTTGAATCCTCGCTCCCTGGGAGACAACGGATGAAGGAAAGGGGCTACAGCTCTTTCTCTGACATCTCTCGCTGTCTGCCCAGGTGAGTTCTAGCTGCTTTCAGCAGTTCTTTCTCTGACCTTCGTCTCGGGGTTTGCCCAGAATACTTTACTCTTACCCACCCTGCGCTTGCCCTTTTTCTTGTATTATTGTGCGCGTAGTCACTTGGAAATAATACTCGGGGCTCGGGGATCTCCCATCCCCGGGCCTTCACCACCTAATTTGACATTGCCGAGTCAAGCGTCGATTGGCTCATCTTCCGCTAGACTCTATCTTCCTCCAGGTTTGCCTCCACCAGATCCCGATCCCGATCCACCCATCACGCGAAATCCTAATCGGAGCATCCGCACATATATAAAGAAACGCTCTGCATCCACTACTGCACTATCCTCCCGTCCTCTGTATCAACTGTTCTCGTGCCCGTGCATCTATGAACCGACCGTGTACGGCCGACTGCCAGACATGCCCGAAGTCCGCCATCTCCGTTGACTTCTCGGTTAGTATCTTACTAACGTCTGAAAGTTGCCTCGCCAAGCTCGCCATGGTTGTTGCAATTGCCGAGTCCAATAGTATCCAAGGCAATTCGACGAGGATCAACAGCCCCACCATCGTGAACAATATTAATTATGGCCAGCCCCCTCGCAGGCGAGGAGCTGGCAGAGGTTCGACCATTACTAGATACAATTTGCTGCCTTCTGACCGGACTCAGGCGCCGGCAATAGGAGAACTACTCATAACACTGGTCGCCCTTCCAAACAACCTCAACATCGAGGTGCTTGGCCCCCCATTTCTTTCATCCGACGCTCATCTCTTTACTAGGCCCTCACTCTCGAAACAGTCACACTCAAAGGGAAGTTCCAGACTTGCGCAGTGCCAGGTCAAACCCGCCATCTACACCTCGCCCGCATTTCTCTCCATACAGCGACCTCCGGGACGTGCGAGCCCTCAACTACCCCCAGCAGTCAGAACCGAGTGGAAGTTCTCTGGATCAAGCTCGACACGACAATCGTTGGGTGCACATTCCCAGACCGCCTACTCCGTCTCCTGCCGCTCTGTATCATAATGCCACTGTGGAAGATGACGACGAATCCTCAAACTTAGGAAGACGGGGAGGAGGATAAAACGGATGTGGGTGCCTCCACCATGCTACAGCCCCTTCTCTCCCTCACTCCGCGGGACGTAGCAACAGTTGAATGCTCCATGGGGGGAAGTCATCAGGAAATGTTTCCCTCGCGTATATATAAATATAGATCCGCGTTCGCGCAGGGTGCTCGCTTCGAAGACACAGTCTGCATTTTATAACAAAGAAATTACACAAGTATTTAAATTCGGGCACGTGATCAGGACGCAAAGGCGGAAATGGTGGCACTCAACAAAACCTCGAGATAATGGTACCATTTTGGGCTGAAGGTACTGATGTACTTTAAGATTCATATTCTCAAGATCCCTGTCCATATGTTGAGTTTTGAGCGAGTTTGAGCCTCATCTTTCTTCTCCGAAACTCTCGGAGTCGCGTAGAATTTGTTACCTTGCTTAGACTCGAACCAGTCGCTATTTGTAAGATTGATGACAGTCGATCAATCCAAGATGTAAATAGCGGTGATCAAACGACTGTCTTTGATCTTTCGTGGATTCATAGGTACTGGCTCGAGTCTAGTCAAGGTCTCTCCACCCTCATACTGGCCTCGCTTTTCCACCAACCCGAGTTCTTCCGGGTTCCGAGCCCTTCCGAGGCACGTGCTTGACAGCACACAAGAAAACTGTTTGGTGAGTGCAAATATCGGCATCTTCTGGCCATCACTCCACCAACTTCACGCGGTAAGCATCCTGACTAATCATGAGTGTGAGGCGTCGCAAGTGTAGCTTCTAGCACATGGGGGCTGGTTTCTCTGTGCTCAGAAAAAATTCAAGGCAAATCGCAAGACCTACAAGTACCTTTGGTTAAAAGCAATAGAGTCAAAGTGTCCGACCTGGAAGTGGAAGAAAAATCCATAGAACACATGCATCAGCCTTAAAACTACACATTTGGCTTTGGCATCTTTGTAGTGTTGGCAAAGTTCGGTTCAGAAATCGGTTCGAACCTGAACCGAACTGAACTGAACGCGAGGTTCAGGTTCAAGGTTCAGCAAATTGCTGAACCTGAACCGAAAGTTCGGTTCGGCGTTCGGGATGGAGGCATTTTTTCCGAACGCGTTCGAACCCCGAACCACAAAAGCCCTGTTCAGACAGATTTTCTGGAGTTTGGAGTGGAATATTACCACTGAAATCTTTACTTACCTTCTATTTTGTTCCACGAGTGATTTCAAGGGGCCTTCGTGATTCTTTGACCCTCGACGATGCGAAATGGTAGGTCCTCACGTGATCTAGTCAATCGATGTTGAGGATGAATTTGCCCAGATAACTGCCCTGTTGTTCTCGAAGGTGTCTATCCTTGCTTTAGTATAGAATTTCTAATAGAATGAACCTTTTCTAATTTTTTTACGAGGCTAGAGAGGTGGTTTTTACCCTGGGAAAATTCCTCAGGTTCGAACGCGTTCGAACGCCGAACTGAACCTGAACGCGAGTTCAGGTTCAAGGTTCGGCCATTCCCTGAACCGAACGCCAGGTTCAGGTTCGGCGTTCGGGCAAAGATGCCCCGAACCTGAACCGAACCGAACTTTGCCAACACTACATCTTTGGCATCTTGGGCAAGACACC